GTTATGATCCTAGGGTTGTGGGATCAATCCCTGTGTCAGGCTCCTCACTGAGTGTGAAAACTGCTTAAGATTCTCTGTCTCTGTCTCTCTCTCTCTCTCTCTGTCTCTCCCCCCCCCCCCCACCTTTGCCCCTCTCCCCCACTGGCACAGTCTCTCCCTCTCTCTCTAAAATAAAAAATAATAATAAATAATAAGGTGTTTATATTTGGCAAAAGTGAAAGATGACATCTTGGTGTAGCTCTGCAGGTGTGTACGTGTGGTCTGATGTGACTTTACTTATGCGTGCTGTACCTGCGAACCACCAGGCAGGGCCCCGGGACCCTTTGATGTTGAATGGGCAAAGCACTGATAGGATTTTTCTCCTTCAATGTTGCTGCAGTTATTTCGTCACTGTCATTACTCACGGCCCTGGCACGTGTGTCCCTTCCCACTCTTGTTCGTCATCTTATCTCTTGCTTATTGCGTGTTTGCCATGCTCCGGGAAATGCCACATCTCCAGGGTGCTGGAGTGTAGGTGAGTGGCTGTGATGCTGTGTCAGGTGGGGCTGCTGGCCCTTTGCCTTGGGAAAGTTTCATTACACAGGAATGTCACCATGGTGGGCTTGGCCCTTTGAGGCGTCCAGTGTGTATGGAGAGCCTGCTCTGTGCCGGGCAGGCATTCCAGGGCAGGCGGGTGGGGGAATGATGTAAAAAGTGTTTAACACAGGATGTAAGAGAATCTGGGCCCATGGAAGCAAAACTGCAGGCTCTGTCACCTGTCAGAAGCTGCCTGTCAGGGAACTGCCTGTACTTTGGGTTCTGATCCCAGCTCTGTCGTTTCCTGGGTGACTTTGAGCAAGATTTGAACTTCCCTGAACCTGCTTCCCTATCTGAAAAATAAGGTCAAGGGCCACCTGGGTGGCTCAGTCAGTTAAGCGTCCGACTCTTGATTTCGGTTTAGGTCATGATCTCACGGTTTGTGGGTTTAAGCCCCACACTGGCCTCCATGCTGCCAGCTTGGAGCCTGCTAGGGATTTTCTCTCTCCCCACTCCCCCCCACTCTCAAAAATAAATAAATAAACTTAAGAAAAAGAAAAGTAAGGTTAATAATACCTGCTGTGAAGGGCCCCTGTAAGGATTAAGTGAAGTGACACATGGTAGGTAACAGGTAGACAGCAGTGACCGCCATCTTTATACGTTGGCCTAGTGGTGTGTTAAGTGTCTGTTCTCAAAAGCAGACAAGGAAGTAGAAAAGGGCTATGTCCTGGTGGACAAGGACCAAATAGTGTGGCCAGAGGAGTAGCCTGGGGTGGGCAGGATCCTGGACCTCGTGAGTGAGGCTTGAGGCTGGGAATCTTCCAACAGTCACTTTCTTTCTGAGCCTCAGTCTCCTTGATTGTAAAATGGACGCAGCCTGTGAAAGCTTGGAGTAGGTGGGAAAACTTATAGTGGCTCCTGCTTCCCTTTCCTCCCAAGCGTCCCTGGCTTGGCCCACGGCTGCTGTCCTCAGTGCACTTTGGGAGCTGGCTCAGTTTGGGCTCAGAAGGAGGGTTCCTGTTGCGAGTCAGTGGTGCTCACCCCTCCTCCCCCCACACCCCCTCATCACTGGGCATCCAGAGACTCGGCTCAGCACTGTCAGTTTCTGGGCCGTTTTTCAGAAACACTCAGAATTTCCATTCCGTCCTTCCCAGGCAGCAGGCAGCGCCCGTCTGACCACTCCTCAAGGATGCTGCTGGCTGTCGGGACAGAGGGCTTGGCTCCCACCCTCCTCCTCGTGGCCTTTCCTGAGGGAGCCACAGGGAACTCACTGTCCAAAGGAAGAGTGTGCATGTCCGAAAGGTGGGGGTCCTTTGGAAGTAGTGGGCACAGGGCTGTGGCCACTTGTCAAGAAAGGCCCGCTGGTGATTTCAGATAAGTGCCTTTCACAGCCCAGCCCTTTGAGGGGCAGGCCCAATCATCACCCCCATCTCGTGGATGAGGAAGTGGAGGCCCAGAGAGGCTGAGCTTCTTGCCCAGGGCCACCTTGCGGGTGAGTGGAGGAGCTTGATGTCAGCCCCACCTATGTCTGGGGGCTGCTGCCGTGAGGAAGAGACTGGTCAAACTTTCTGAAATGTTTCCTTTTCGGATGGACTTCTGGATAGGTGTTAGGATCTAAATTGTGTGCCCGTCTGTCAATAACTAGTGCTGTGGTTGAACCGCCCCTTGTAGTTCTTATATGAAACAAGACGCCCATCAGCAGTAACCATCAGGAAACTTTGAAAAAATAAAGGTTTATTACTTACAGGACCTAGGAATAGCACACATGAGGCCAGACGGCGTGGTGGAGGGTGGAGGGTAGAGAGGATGGGTGTGCATAGACCTGGGGTTCTACTTTTATTGGGGTTGAGAGTAGGGGCTGGGAGTTTTAAGGGCTTACTATTGGTATTTGAAACTTAAGAGTGGGAATTTAAGAAAAAACAAGTGGCCCAATGGTCAGTTATCAAAATCTGCCAAGATCTCTAAGACAAAGGAGCCTCTGTGGTGGGAGGTGGCCTGGCTCTTTATCTAGTCGTGTGCTGCCAGTGTGTTTATTCAAGATAGCACTCTTCCAGCGGATGCCTCTTTGAAGTGGATGCCTGAGCGATCAAGCTGAAGTCAAGCACTCGCCTTACAAAAGAGAAGAAAAAAACAAACAACAAAAAAACCAAACCTATAACTGTCAGGACTTTCACTGGTGAAGGGCATTGATTCCTAGAGGCCTGGAGCCCCAGCGCTGGTGGACTAGGGTCTTACATAATGACTGTGGCACTACAGCAGACATGCCCACAGTGGGCTTACGCCCATGGCACTGTTCCTTTTTTCAAGAGTGTCTCACATTCAAGTTCTCTGTTACCTCCAAAGCCTGTATTTTCCCAGGTTCAAATGGACATGCACTAGAGAGTTTGTTATTTCTGAGATTGGAACGCTTTCCTAACAAAGGAAGATATGCAGTAGGGTCCACATGCTAAACTGCCCGCCTTGGCTGGGTGGGAATCCTCTCCTGGGGTGATACTTTTCAAGGACTCTGATGCCCACTCAGGTGAGCATGTCCAGAGCAGGTCATCTCTTTAGGGCTCAGCCACTGTGGGTTCATCCAAGAGATAAGCAGACTCAGAAATGGAAGCTAGTGCTGGTGGCAGGTATGCAGGCAGTCTTTTTGGGACCAGACATTAGGCCGGTGTGTAGGCATCCTAGGTGAACCCAGTCATAACCAGTATACTACTCCACTGGCCATAGCATTGGGGGTTGGAGGGGTGCCGGGTGGAGTAACCTCTCTGTGGGATCTGGGTGGTTGACAAACTTTGAACTCAGTAATGTCCTAGATTCAGAAGGGAGAGGGGTGATGAGTGTGGGCAGGAGAAAGAGGGACACAGACGCCTGGATGGGCAGCCAGCGGGCCCTGTGGGCAGGCCGGCATTGGTTCATCCCCCTCATGTGTCCTGGCCCTTGAGATGCAGTGGCTGGGGTGGGGCACAAGGGTGTGGGAGCACAGGGGAGCTTCTGATCAGGAGTTCAGGGTTGCAGGGGTGCCTGGGGGTTAAGCGGCCGACCTGGGCTCAGGCCATGATCTCACAGTTCATGGGTTCAAGCCCCATGTCAGGCTTTGTGCTGACAGCTCAGAGCCTGGAGCCTGCTTCAAATTCTGTGTCTCCCTCTCTCTCTGACCTTCCCCTGCTCACACTCTGTATCTCTCTCTCTCTCAAAAAACTAAATAAACATTAAAAAAAAAAAAAGATTTAAAAAAAAGGAGTTCAGGGTTGCAAAATGAGTAGAGGACAGGATGCTGGGGGCATGGGAAAGTAAGGGTGGATGAGGGGCCTTCCCAATAGGGAAGACCTTGGAAGTTGGGCGAGAGGGTGCAGAAGCAGAAGGGGAACTGTGAAAGGAGATAGGCGAGGTGCCTTGTCAAGGGTCTTGAATTTTCTACCAAAGGCAGCGGAGAGCCCTGGAGGACTAGCAAAGTCAGGGAGTGAGGTGGTGACATTTGAGATGTCTTTTAGTGCTGTTAGTGAGGTCATGGTTTAAAGCCCTGAGCCCTAAGTATGGCTGCATTTATGGGTTACTGGTGCTTTTGGACCAGGCCAAGAGTGTGAGCCTCACCAAGTACGTTGTGTCCGCAAAGGAATTAGAATCTCCAAAACCAAACTGGAGCATCTGCTGACTGTGTCCTTGGAAATCCCACCCTGCTGAACACGTGTGCAGCGCTTCCTAGGCTAGGAGAACCATTCATCCATGTGTAGACTGGTGCCTGAATTTGGGGGGACTCATGGGGGACTGAGATGAGTCCCCATAGGAAATCACTATGCTCAGTGGTTGCAGAGGTTAGGACGGCTTCTGCATTTGGGAGCGGAAGGATCTTACACAGAAACACTGATTCCTCACATTCTCGGAAGGAACCCCGTCTAAAGAGCCCAGGGTGCCTGTCCTGTGGATTCCGACTCCCACCAGCCATCTGGCCAGGATGTTCACACAGCATGCCTATTTTCCCAGGGGATGTGCACTAGGACGGATTGGAACATCCCCCCCAGTGCGAGGCTCTCCCCGCACGGGGGGTGGGAAATTGGCATTGAGCTGACCAGGAAGAGGGGTGGCTTCAGAGCCAGGCTGGACTTTGGGGTCTCTGGACTCTGAGATGCCTGCTGGAGAGTGTGGGCGGTACAAAGAGCCAGCAGCTGGCCTGGCCTCCCTGATGGCCCCCAGGAGCCAGCGGAGGGCGCTCACTGGCCCACCACACGTCGGTCCCAAACCCCTCTGGCCCTCACTGCCAAATGCTCTGATTGCGGTCCTCACTCAGCCTCTGCTCAGAAAGGAAGTCCTGGAAGGGGGCATGGGGCCTGGATGTGGGAGTACAACCTCACTGTGTTTCTCACCAGTATTTGGAACTCATTTTCTCTAGTTTACTGGTGGTTTTTTACTTAATCCTTCGGAGGGGCTCCTTTCTCTGTGTTTCTTTAAGCACTGAATGAGGACTGAAGGGCTCCCTTTCTTTTCGTTGTCTTTAGCCAGAAGTGGATTTTCCTGTCCCTCCAGGCAGAGGCAGGAGTCAGGAGTCGGTGCAGAGCCAGCCCCAAGAGCCCACCAGCATGCCCCAGACGCTGACCAGCACGCTGGAGCACATCGTGGGCCAGCTGGACGTCCTCACCCAGGTAGGCCGTGACGCGCGTGCATCCCCCCCATCTGCACTTGGCCTGGCATTTGGACCATTTGAAGTTGGCCAGCAAATGCTGGATTTTTAAAAAACATAATCATAATAAACCTACTTTCCAAGCCAAATTAATAAAGTGCAGTGCCTGCCCTGAGATCCTGGATCTCAGAACAATCCAAGCCCCGGCCAGGCCACTGGACCCTAAAATCAGCCATGCTGGATCCTGCCAGGGTGTACCCTCCCGGGGCTGGCCAGGGCTGCAACAGAGCTCTGAAAGAAACACTGTCCATCGCCAGGTGGGCACCCGGGGACGTGCCAGGGAACCGTAAGCGTGAGTCAAGGCGTCTCGGAGCCCAGGCTCTGGGTTCGAGCTGGCACTGCTCCTTATCCTCTGAGCAACCTTGGCGAAATCCCTTCAGCAATCCAAGCCTTGGCGTGCTCCTGTGTGATGTGCAGTGGCCGTGAACTCCATGTCCCACATTTGTGGTTGGGATTAAAGGAGATGAATCTGTGGGTAGTGTTTTGCTCATGCCTGGCTCTAGGTGGATGCTCAGTAAATATTACTGAGCATTATAATAAATTATATTGAGCATTATATTGTGGTGCTGACCACTGCCATCAAGATGAACATGGGCCACGGCCTCTGGAGCATACGTCCTAATATAGAATTATAGTGCAGCAGTTTCCGTGAGAGCAAAATGCCCGGGGAAGAGGTGGCAGCCAGCACCGTGGGCGTAAGAGCGGCCCTGGCAGAGGGAGCAGCCTGCCTGCAGGACTGGAGGGGGCCACGGGCATATTCAGGAAGTGGACAAAAGGCCCAGCTTGGCTGACTTGGGACATATAGGTGGTGGTGGTGGCGAGGCCAAGGCAGGATCCTCAGACCCCTTCTCCACCTGGGCTGTGGGTGCAGACCACCTTCTTCTGTGCCAGCTCACGGGTAGAGTAGGGCTGTGGAAAGAAGCAAAGGACACTTGAGTCTCTGACGGGAATGGAGCTGAAGTGGCGTGGTGTCCTTTCCCTCCCTCTGGATCTGGGGCCAAGTAAGAAAAGCTCTTCTCCATCATGTCACATGGTCCACGGTGTGTCCCAGCATCCCGGCTGGTGCTGCACACCTTGGGCCCAGTGAAGGAAGGACATTTGAAGGGAAAGGTCAGACATCAGTGGCTGGGAGCTGGGGGACTGTGGGCACATCATACAGACATTTTGGAAAGCCTGTTCACCCTTAAGGAGAAGGCACGTGCTAGGAGAGAGGTATGAGCAGTGTGCACATCCCCCACCTCAGATGCGTCAGAAACTGCCAGGCCCGCCTCATGTTCTTCACAGCCTTGTCAAGTGAGAGATCAGGGGAGGTGGAATCCATTAGAACTTTATAGGATAAAATTGGAAATTAAGTCTGAGAAGATGGTTAAAAATAGCTTCATTGGATCACTTCATTGGAGTGTAGCACTGAAAGCATTTCCCATCGCTGTATTTCAGGAGTGCACATGGGAGGTTCTGTTATGTGTTAGCAGTTCAGCGTGTGATCATAACTTTGTAAGAAACTGGCATCACGGAGAATAATGAAGGCTCTCTTGTGGCCTGGGCCGCTGGCCCACGGTCTGGATGGCTCTGGGGCACCCTTGTCCTACCTCGCACTGTCCAGCCCCATGGCAGATCCAAACAGCACTCCGCCCCAACCAGATGCCAGGCCCATCAGCCAGTCACCTGCTTTGCCAAACAGTGTGCATTCCTGAATGCCACCAAGTGAGACATGTTCCTGAAGGACTTGACACATCCTGAGGAAACTTGGGTTCCACAGATAAAGCCCCCAGTTGAGGCCTCAGCCCATATTCAAAGCAGTAAGAGGTGCATTTGTGCTAATTTGATGCTATCTTTGAGCTTGGGCACTGGTTTTTCCAGGCCTACCTCCTCTCCTGGATTTGGGGCTCTAGCTGAGGTATCCTAGCCACAGCCAGAGCTGTCCCCAGTGGCGCTGGGAGTTCCCTCCTCTTCTGACTAGCCTGGCCGTGGGCAGTCTCCTCTCTGGAGGCTCTCCTGAGGCCTAGAGCCAGGTAACTCCGCTGTATATAGCTACCTATGCAGGTCACTCAGCAGGCTCTGAGCCTCCTTGGTCTGTGGGTATTGGCCTCACGTGCTGCCTCCTCAATGAGTGCTCCTCACCATCCCGATGTGCCTCTCTGCTCTGGAGAGGTGCCGTCAACCACCCCAATCCCGGCTCCTACTTCAGAGTCGGCTGAATCATGCTGTTCTCCTCTACCTCACCCCTTCGCTGCCCCTCCTCTCCCCCACAAGGAAGTCTACTTCAAAGAGGCTTCTGAGAGGCAGACTGCCTTCCGGGTCCTTTGGTCCTCCATCCTGCAGAACATCCTCCAGGGAAGTACTGTGGGGGCTGCAGTGACTGGGGGTGTTTGCCTAGTGAGTCACAGAGCCTCCAGCCCCTGGGTGACACGAGCAGGACGCCCTGTTACGGAAGCCCCCTGTCCTCGGAGCCTAGCCTCCTGCTAAGTAGGCTGGTGTGGCCCAGGGATCGAGTCCCCCTCTCTGGGATTTCGTAGCCCGTTGACACCAGTGTGAAGGCCCAGGACCCCAGGGCCCAGAGGTTGGGCAGCTGAGTGTGCCCATGGAAAGATGTGACTCAGCTTGTTTGGGTGCAGATCTCAGTAACCTTGGGCAAGGTATTTAACCTCTGTGCCTCAGTTTCTAAGTCTGGAACACAGAATGATAATAGTACCCACTTCGTGGGCCTCTTGTAAGGATTAGATGCATCAGCTTGAGTGAGGCTCTTTGAGCAGTGCCATATGCTGCCCCTTTACATTATTCAAGGCCTGGCAGGGGTTGCGGGGGGATCACAGTGGCACCAGAAATAGCTCTCCCAATTTCCTACTACCTCCCTGCCCAGGAGAGCCATTCCTCAGCCTCACAGTGGGGGTGGCGAGTTCCCTTTAATCCTTGAGCCCTTTCTGTGTCTGAGGCCAGTGAGTGAGCTGGGTGGCTTCTCTCCCAGGCCAAAAGGCCTGTCATCCCAAGGAAAGCAAACTGTCCATAGGGCATGTGCAGCATCCAAAATACAGCCCTTTGACTCCCAGTTTGGGGTTGTACTGTTTTTTGTTTTGTTTTGTTTTACCTTTTAAAAAATATTTATTTTTGAGAGAGAGAGAGAGAGAGATTGCATGCACAAGCTGGGGAGGGGCAGAAAGAGAGGGAGACAGGATCTGAAGTGGCCTCTGCACCGACTGCAGAGAGCCTGACTCTCTGGGCTCGAACCCATGAACTGTGAGATCATCACCTGAGCTGAATTCAGAAGCTTAACTGACTGAGCCACCCAGGTGGCCCTTTACCATTTTATTTCTTTAGGAACACCTTTTCTATAAAATAAATACATTGTCTTTTCAAAAATGTACCCATTTGGGGCGATAACTTTGGAACATGTTGCAAGGGTCCACAGGTCTTTGTCCATCTCTGGAGTGGTATGCTCTCTGGACTGGCCTGGTCTGGCAGGTCTTCCTATGGTGTGTTTTAGATGGGAGGTCTACAGAGTGTGGAGATCACGTCCTCATTGTCATCTTCCTCCCCTGCTGTCTATCTGAGACCTACAACTTTCTAAGGGCTGGTCCTCATGGCCCTCATGTCATCCTCCCACCTGGTGCCCAGCAGCCGGTATCACGCCGGGTGCGGATTGGGTGAGAGTAACTGCTTGTGCCTGGGCCAGGCCCCAGGGGTCACTCAGCCTGGGGCTTCTCCGGGATGCTGGGTGATCCCGAGCTCAACCCGCTGTAGGCTGGGGCTTCCCACCTTCCCCTGCTAGACAGTTTTGGTGTAGTCAGGGATGGCTTCATCAAGGAGTCCCTCTGTAAGTCAAACTTGATCTTCCTGGAAGTTAAGGCAAGACGTTCTTGCTTTGTGATCACAGAGCTGGGCAACCCTTTGGTCCCTGGCCAGAGAGTACACCCCTTGCCATGGCCCTTCTTTATAGAGGAGACACCCCTCTTTATTCCTGTGAAGTTGCTTTTGGGGGCTTTGCGGATTCCTTCACTGAGGAATCCCCTCCTGGGGACCCTGATCCCAGCTGGATGCCATATTCTGAACAGCCGGGGTCTCTCTGACCTTATACACCCCTACCAGCTCGGGAGCAGAGTGAGCCACCTGCCCATCAGCCTGGACATACCTGCCCTCCTGAATTTGAGGACCAACCCCACCATTCATCACCTGGGTGACTTGAGGCAGGTGACATTGCTCCACAGAGCCTTAGTTTCCTCCCTTATAAAGGGGACAGTCAAGCCAGCTCGTGTCCTCTGAGCACTGTTGTGAAGCTCCTGGTTAGCTAGGCCGGCACCAGCCATTTCATGAAGCACAGCACGAAGTCGATGTACTCCCAGGAGAATGTGGGAAAGCACCAGGGAGGCCAGGTGACACAGGAGTGCCAGGAGTGGACATTCCACAGGCCTCTGCACCTGTTGGACTTGAGTCCCAGGAATGCTCTTGAGCTGCCAGTGAGACTCTAGGGGTCCTGGTAGGTGCTAGGACAAGAGGGAGAAAAAGGAGAGATCTCTCCCCAGGTCCAGGAAGGGGAGCCCAAGAGGTGACAGGGAACTGGGGTGCCCAGGGGCTGGTGAAAATCAGAGATGGTTCATGGGGCCCATTAGATGGGAGCCTTGAACCCAGGCACTAGGCCAAGACCAGGAGTCAGAAGCCCCAGCTGCTCTGGCCCAACTTTGCCTGTTTCCATCTGTGTGAATCTGAGTGAGCCTTAGGCTTACTCTATACAGGGGAGCCTTTAGGCACTGCCCATCCACCTGTCCCATGGGTCAGCATCTCACATGGGGCCAGGACTTCCCTCAGGGCCTTCTTTTCATGAGTCGCCTTTATATCTCCCTTCCCTGGAGGAAGGACTCCAGGGTGGGCCCTGTGGCTGCCAGGCCTGTCTGCTTGGTGATGGACATTCAGCATGTATCCAGACAGAGGCCCTGACCTTTCCCCTCATGTTTTTGTGGGGGTGTGTCG